CAAAATAAATTAATGAAAAAATGAGAAAAAAGAAAAAAAAGAAAATCAATATGAAAAAATTCTTTAAAGAAAGCTATTGATTCCTGGTGGATGTTTGTAGGGGACACACAAATAAGCTGGATGGTTTTGTTTCTCCCTGTCTTGTTAAAGTTACTAGACACATTTTGTTTTTTTAAGAAATTGATCATTATAATTGTACAGTGTTTTGTTCTTTCAAAAAAAAGAAGTTCAACCCTCTCATTTTGCAGATCAAGTTCAGAGAGGTGACTTACCAGGGTCACTCAGCTAGTATCTGAGGCAGGATTTAAATTGAGGTCTTCTTGAATCCAACACCAGCACTCTATTCAGTATGTCACCTAGCTGTCTGCTTTCTTTTATGAAATCTTCAAGAGAATGGTCTAGGAATGGATCAAGGGCATCCTTGATGAAAACATGAGAAGGGAAGAAACAAGCTTTTCCATTCAATTTCTGATAATTCACCACAATTTTTTCCCCATAACATCTTCATGGTGACATGGTTGTATAGAGCAAATGAGAGCCTGTCAAGTCCAATGTTTGTTGATTAAAAAACAACAACAAAACAGGTGCAACAAAATTCAGCCTCATGGGTTCTCTTTCCCCAAAAATGTGTTTCCCATGTCAAAGATCATTAAAGACAGAAGCATATATGACAGATACAATTACAGAGACAATTCCATTTAATGGGATTAGACTGGCCTGTCAGGACCAGTCCTTGAAGAACTCAAAAATATTCCCTGCCTGCTTCTAGTCCAAGTGACCATGTGGAAATTTGAAGGGAATGTGTTTCCAGCCATGTGTGACTGAGGGGCTTGTAATACACGATGATAAAAAGTATTTTAATGGGCTGTGGAGCTGGAAGAGCAGAATGACACAGGGATTGCTGAACCACAACTGAATGGGCATACAAAAGGGACATTTACTCTTTCATTCCTTTTCCTTGGCAGCTTTGAGTGAGGACAACTTTGAGCTGGTCCCAAGAGTTGAGGAGGAGAGGGATGGCAGCTCTGTCTCCCATCCCACCATGATAGCCACCTCTGACTCCATGTTTATTCTTTCCTGATCTTGACTGAACAAATATTCCAAGGTGGATGTGTCAGGAGGTTGGGGCAGGAACAAGCATTTATTAAGCACAATGTTCCAGGCAATATGCTAAGCACTTTACAAACATTATCTCATTTGATCTTCACAACAACCGTGAGAGCTAAGTGCTGTTGTTACCCCCCCATTTTACAGTTGAGGAAACTGAGGCAAATAGAGACTAAGTGACTTGCCCAGGATCATATAGCCAGTAAGTGTTTGATGCCATATTTGAACTGAGGTCTTCCTGACTCCTGGGGCCAGCACTCTACTGCACTACCTAAGTGCCTCTAGGCAGTAATCTTTTGAGTTTAGGAGATCCAAAGTCTTCATCCTGGTTCCACTTAAAACCAGAGATGGTAACAGTGGCCATCAGAACAAAAGTGGCTCACAACAATGGAAACTGCTCAGATGAATGCAGAAAGACATCTGAGGATAGGGGAAGTTCAGGAGATAAAACCGCTGGTAACCCCTGAGGAAATTATTGAAAAGGACTAAACAGACATGGTCCCTTAAAGCCCATCAAGGCTGCTCACCTGGCTGGGAGGTATACATGAGGAGAACCTGGTGAGGACTCCATGAAGGAAGAAAAGGACTTCCAGTGCCCTGTGTGTGAGTTAACCTTTTGCCCTACATGTATACCTTTCATGTGGGTCCCTTTTGGACTCTTAAGTAGTACCTTTTCCTTTTATAAACTTATTACCCAGAAATCCATCCTCTGGTAAAACACTATGCTTGAATATCAGCATCTAATGAGTCATAAATTGGAGAGACATATGCTCACTTCAGGTGTTTATCAGCATCATGAATCCCAAATCAAAGAATGATTCCTCAATGATCAAAAAAGTAATCGTGAGGGGCAGCTAGGTGGCACAGTGGATAGAGCACCGGCCCTGAAGTCAGGAGGACCTGAGTTCAAATCTAGCCTCAGACCAAACACTTGACACTTACTAGCTGTGTGACCCTGGGCAAGTCACTTAATCCCAATTGCCTTAAAAAAAAAAAAGTGATCGTGAATGATGAGATTCTCCAAATGCTCCCCTTCACAAATGACTACTAATTTCAATGATCCTTGGATCACTTCATTACTCAGTGAAATCTATAGTCATTTGAAATAGATCAGCATTGTAAAAACAAAGTTGATAGGAAACATGCATAATATGCAGAGTATAACAGACAAGCAGACAGGCAACTCATTGAATTAGTCCATCAAAATAAATTAGTATAGTAGAGAAACACTGAAGATGTACAATGAGAATTGAAAAGGAGGAGGGTATCAGCCTTGTACACATTCGGAAAACTGTATAACACTTTCAAAGATAAGAATCAGCTAACAGTTAAAAATGTCCATCTTTAAACAGCGCTATTCTTCCAATAATGACACATTTCTATGAAGCATGAAATACCATGATCTCAGAAGAATTCAAATTGCAGTGCTTAAAAAGATAATAGAAAGGTAGATGTGACTATTAATAGACTTCAGCATATTATCAACAGTGATTCATGCAGAAATTATGGTGTAAACAACATTTTAAGGACAAAGATGCATGAAAAAGTAGATGGCCTGGTCATGTCACAAGAGTAAGGACAGAGAGGCAGTCTTAATACTGTACTAGTGCCCTTGAAATAGTAAAAGAACCCAAGGAAGTCCTTATTCCTGGGTGCATCTTCTATGAAAGATTTATAGAGAGGTTTGGACAAGAAGAGTCCAGTATTTGAAGGCATGGAGGGCTTCTGACCTGTACCAGTGGAGGGCATCCCCATACTGGTGAGATCACAGACCCATCCACGTGCTGAAGAAGCAAATACACTGCAATGTTCCTTTTGTGTTTACAAAATGTTCTTGACTTCATCCCCTGTTCTTTTTGATGGTTTTTATTAGGTACAAATGTTGGCCTGGCTTTTTCATCACCCATCCATGGAAAGATTACAAGAAGGCTACATAAGTACCTGCTGAGCTAACGAATAAAACCTCAAAGCAGAGTTACTCTGTAGGGTTTTTGAAAATTGAAAAAAAGAAGGGTCTGGGTGAGGTACATGGGACTTTGTAGTTCTTGATTTCCCATCACCTTTTATTTCAAGTCAGAGGTCACCAAAAGAGAATGCTTGCTGCTTATTTCATGTGTATGTGGCCCTGAATATCTAGCTTGAGACCAGAGCATAATTCGTGTCTTTTTGCTGAGCAGAACAGCACCTGGGGTTCAGTGAAGCTTCCAGTCCTCCTCTTGGAGGTTTGTGGAGTTCTTACTCCACAAACAGGCTCAGAGAATACACTCATTTGAAAACATCAAAGCAATTTCTGACTTCAAAGAGCCTTCTATGTAGAAATAAAGGTCATCCTTCCATCAACTGATGCTGAATAAAGTGAGCAGAACCAGGAGAACATTGTACACAGTAACAGCAACAATATGCAATGATCAACTTTGATAGACTTAACTCTTCTCAGCAATACAATGATACAAGACAATTCCAAAAGACTCATGATGGAAAATGCTCTCCACATCCAGAGAAAGAACTGATCTAGTCTGAATGCAGATCAAAGCATACTATTTTCACTTTTTTGTTTTTTTCTTTCTTGTGGTTTTCCCCTTTTCTGATTCTTTTTTCACAACATGACTAATGTGGGAATATGTTAACACAGTTGCCCATGTATAACCTATATCAGATTGCTTGCTGTTTTGGGGAGGGGGAGTGGAAGGGAGGGAGAAAAATTTTAGACCTCAAAATTTTATAAAAAATAAATGTTGAAAACTATCTTTATATGTAATCAGAAAAAATAAAATATTTTTATTTTTATTATTTTATTTTTAATTTAACTTTAATTTTTAATTTTTGTTTTATTGTTTTAATTTTAAAAAAAATTTTAAATTATTTTTAAAAAAAGAAATAAAGTTCATCTATTTTCCACGTGGTAAGTTTGATTCCCATCATATGATCATGCTGTCCTTCCCACAAAAAAGATGCTGCTCCTTTCCTGCTTCAGAGTCCATGTAAAGTAAATAATGCCTTCTTCATGGACCCTTAAGCAGGACAGACAGAAAAAAAATCTATCCACTGTGCCACCTGGCTGCCCCACTTCTCTTTCACTCTCAAATGGTTTCTTAATTCTTCACTTTCTGTCATCAGAGTGGTATCAGCTGAATATCTGAGATTGTTTATAGTTGCAGGGACTGTCTTTTGTCTCTTTTTGTATCCCCTAAAATGCTTAGCATAGTACCTGGCAAATAGTAGGTGTTTAATAAATGTTTATTGATTGAACCATTGTTTCTTTCATTTAGCTTGTTTTAGTCCTTGGATTTTCTTTTTACCCCTAGTTCTTAGCACAGTGCCTGGCACACAGTAGGCATTTAATAAATATTTACTGATTGTTTTTTCTGTTTGGCTTATTTTTTGGCTTTTCTTCTTATCCCCAGCTCTTAGCACAGCACGGCACATAGTAGGTAGGCCTGGCACGAGGTAATCGATTAATCAATGCTGTTGGCTTGACTTTTGAGAAAGGAGAAATGAGGTCAATGAGTAGTGAGAGACTGAGGGGCATCAAAGGGAGAAAAATAAAGGAAGGTGAGAAGCAGAGGAACAAGGGAGGGGAAGGGATGGAGGTGGACTGGTGGAATTAGAAGAAGGAGATAGAGGACCCACAGAAGGGAAAGGACGAGGGGGGGGATGAGGGGGGTAAGAAAGGTGAGAAGAAAAGAAAGAGATAAGCAGAGGAGATTCAGAAGAAAGACCAACGTGTGAGGGTGTATGAGAGGCGGGGCAGAAAGGGAGGACTGGAGGAAAGCAGAAAGAAAAGGAAGGGGGCGGGGACAGGGGAGGAGAGAAAAGGAGGCGGCGCTAGGGCGGGGCTGCGCAGGCGCGCTGGGCCCGGGCGAAAGGTAAAAGGTCAGAGGTGGCCAGGTGTCATGGCGGCCCCCGCTCTGGCGCTGGGCTGGGGCCCGCTCCGCTTCGGCTCCGGGGGCTGCCTTCGTAGCCGCGTGCCCCGGGGCCCGAGCGCCCGCGGGAGGGGGCTTCCGGCCCCCGTGGTCTTGGGACGAAGCGCGACCGCGTCCAGTCGGACCGAAGCCCCCGGCAGTGGCCTTTACTGCGTGGAGCTGCTCCGGTGAGCTCCGGCCCGAGGCCGCCGCCGCCTCCTCCTGAGGCCCCGCCGTTCTCCGGGCTTGCGGAGGGGGAGGGGAGAGAGGAAGGCTCCTGGGGCCGGAGGAAGGGGTGGGCGGGGCCCCGGGGATGACCCCCCCCCAGCCGCCTCTCCTGTGACCTTGGTCTCTGCTTCACCTCAATTCAAGATACATTCTTTTATTTGTTTTAGAACAAGTTCTTATTGCTGCCTTTTGTTTTTTTCACATCACCACGGCCCCCTGCAGTGTCCTCCCTCTCCTCCTCCCAGAGTGTTTTCCCATATTTTTAAAGATTAGGAAAAAAAAAATACGAAAAAACGGGCATCACCAATAATTACATCGCCCGAAAATACACGTGGGTTACCATACTCTGCAAAGGGAAGGATGAAGGGTGGGAATGTGCCATTCCCCAATTGATGGGCATCTAGTTTTAACAAGTACTTACTAAGTGCCCAGTGTGTGTCTGGCCCCCTCGTTAGACACTGGGAAACCAGAGGCAAAAAATATACAAACAGCTCCTACCCTCAATAAACTTCCTTCTTAGCAGGAAGGGGACCTTGGGAGAGTGCATAACAACAAGTAAATGCAAAATATATACAAAGGGGAAGGAGATCAGGAAAAGGCTTCACCTGGAAAGTGGCTTGAGCTAAGCTTTGGAGGAAACTAGGAATTCTAAGAATCTGTTGAGAAGGAAGAGGCCGTGCATTCTAGGGAGCACAGAGCCGTGGGGAGGGAATTGTTCAAAAACTTGGACACAGTAGTAATAATAATTGCCAGCAATTATATAGTGCCTACCATACGTCAGATTCTGTGAAAAGTGCTTTACAAATATCTTATTTCATCCTCGTAACAACCTTGCTAGGTAGGTACTATTATTATCATCCCCATTTACAACTGAGGAAACTGAGGCAGAGTTTTAGTGACTTGTCCAGGATCACAGAAGCTACTAAGTATCCTAGATTTGATTTGAACTCAGGTCTTCCGGCCTCTCTTCATTATGCCTTATTGATGGAGATATGTTGTTGGGGACTATCAAATCACTTTAGCCGGGACAAGAGTGTGAGGGGGCATGATACGTTATCAGTCTGGCAAGACAGGTTGGAGTCATGTTGTAAAGAGTTTTAAATGCTGGAGGAGTTTGTATTTTTTCCTAGAGTCAAAATGGAGCCACTGTATCTTTTTCAGTAGAAGACTGACATGGTCAATCTCTTGCTTTAGAAATATTTTGATAGTTGTGATGGATTAGAGAGGCTGAATGCAGGCACAGCAGTTTATTGACTGTTGCTGTAAGCCAGGCAAAAAGATTATGAGGGGCTGAATTAGATTTTTTAGTGTGGATGAGTGGAGAAAAAGATGGGATGTGAGGGTTGTTGACGTAAAATTTAGAAGATGGAACATTTGATTGAATGTGGGTGGCTATGGCTTCCATTCATTTAAACAGGACTCTTGTTTGCTACTGCCAGGTTATCCATGTTGAGATCTTACTTTACAAGGATCATTTTTTTTGGGGGGGAGCAAAATCAGGCAGTCAGTAAACACTTTGAAAGTGCTTGTTATGTACAGGCTCTGTGCTAAGCACTGGGGAGACAGCCCCGTCTCTCACAGAGCTCACAATCTAATGGGGGAGACAAAAATCAAACTAATATGTACAAGCCAGCTATATACAGGATAAATAGGAAATAATAGAGGGAAGGCACTAGAATTAAGTAGAATTAGGAAAGCCTTCCTGAAGATGATGGGATTTTAATTGGGACTTGAAGGAAGCCAAGGAAGCCACAAGAGGGACATGAGGAAGGAGAGCATTCCAGGCACGGGAAACAGCTAGAGAAAATGCTGGAAACAGAGATGGAATGTCTTGTTCGTGGATGCTTTTATTTTTGTAGCAGGAACTGAGTGATTCACATAAAGAAGTAAAAGAAACCAAAATTCATAATGATGACACCTGTCACTTCTCATGTTTGCTTAATTTTAGCATTATATAAGGTTTTTTTTTGCACAATCCAGTATTTACATGGTCTTTTAATTTTGCCACAGCTGCTTTGTTACCCTGATAAAACTGTAGACTTGATTGATGTATTGAGAGGACACCATAAAAATGAAAAGTTTGTAGTGAGATCCTTTGGGTACTGAAATAATTAAACTTTTTTGGATGGTTACTCATTCATTGAGTCAACATTTTTAAGCAGCTAGAATGTGCAAAGCCTCAACCCTGCATGGACTACATTTAGCTCCCTTGTCTACCCCTGCCTCTTGGTGAATTAGCTCAACTCTACATTATCATCCACACTCAAATCCCTTCCTTTCTTTTCTTTTCATTGATCATGTGTTGCTAAACCCAGACCATGAATTACTCCCACCATCTGCCTCCTTTGCATCTATTCACAGTGCTGCTGAATAGAGTTGGAGAAAATCACAAAACCTTGCTGATCTGGTCCACTACAAAAGTGTATTACATAATTCCAATTCAGCCTTCAGTGCAATAAAGCAGTTCTTTTACACCTTGTTAATCTCTCACTATTTCTACTCTCTGCAACAATAATTCTTTTTTTTTTTTTGGGGGGGTGAGGCAATTGGGATTAAGTGATTTGCCTGTAGTCACACAGCTTGTAAATGTCAAGTATCTGATGCCAGATTTGAACTCAGGTCCTCCTGACTCCAAGGCTCTGTCCACCTCGCCACCTAGTTGCCCCCCTGCAACAATAATTCTAAGCCTTTTCATCTCTCCTCCAGCCTTCCCTAATACCTCTTCTTCTTCTTCTCAGGTGACCTCATACTTTGCCAAAATAATTAGACCATTCATCTAGAGCTTCCCCTTCTCCCTTCCTCATCTCATATCACTCAAACATCTCCCTTCACTATCTCCTTTACATTCTCTGTTGAAGAGGTAGCCTTTCTCCTTACCAGGACAAACCCTTCTGTATGTGTCCTTGATCTCTTTCCATCCTGACTTTTCCATCTAACTGCCCCTACTATCATCCCTGTTGTCTCTCTGATTTTCTATCTCTCAGTATTTACCAGCTCCTTTTCTGCTTTCTGTAAGCATGTCCATATCTCCACTATCCATAAAAACCCTCACTTGATCTGACCATTTCTGCTAGCTGTTGCCCTAAAATCTCTCCTGTATATGTTGTCCTATGTATCTTTGAGTATATTATCATGGCTACACTCGAAAAAACAGTCTATAATCAGTGCCTTCATTTACTTTTTTCTGAGTCTTCTAAAACCTTTGCAATCTGGCTTCCAACCTCATCACGCAATTGAAACTGCCCTAGACAAAGTTTCTAATGATTTCTTAATTGTTAAATATAATAGCTTTTTTGCAGTCATCATCCTTCTTGACCTCTCTGTAACCTTTGACTTTGTTGATCACCATTTCCTTTTGGATACTCCCAGATTTCCATGGCATTACTTTCTCGTTTCTTTTCTCGCCTGCCTTACTGCTTCTCAGTCTTATTTGCTGTATCCTAATCTAGATCATGTCCACTGGTCATGGTATCCCTATTGGCTTTGTCCCGTGGCTTATTTTTTTTTTGGTGAGGTAATTGGGGGTAAGTGACTTGCCCAGAGTCACACAGCTAGTGAGTATCATGTCTCTAAGGCCAGATTTGAACTCGGGTCCTCCTGACTCCAGGGCCAGTGCTCTATTCACTGTGCCATCTAGCTAAACTGCTGTGGACCACCTCCCCCCCCACTTCTTTTCATTTCCCTTCATATTATCTTGGTTAATGAACTGATCAGTTGCAGTGGGTTCAACCATCATCTCTGTGCAGATGATTCTCAGATATATATATCCAGTCCTCATTTCTCTCCTGTTTGATAGTCACAATTACCAACTAACTTTTAGATGTCAAATTATATGTCCTTGGGGCAGCTAGGTGGCACAGTGGATAGAGCAACCGGCCCTGAAGTCAGGAGGACATGAGTTCAAATGTGATCTCAGACCAAACACGACACTTACTAGCTGTGTGACCCCAGGCAAATCACTTAACCCCAGTTGCCTAAAAAGGAAAAAAATTATATGTCCTATAGACATCTTAAATATAACATGTCTAGCCCCTTCCAAAATTTCTTATTATTGAGGGCACCGCCACCCTTCCAGGCTCATAACCTCAGTGTCATCTGTGAGTCCTTGCTTTCACTCCATATAGCCAATCTGTTGCCAGATTTTGTTGTTTCTACCTTTGCAACCTCTCATATATGTTCCCTTCTGTCCAGTAAAACAGCTACTACCCTCGTGCAGGCCCTCATCATGTCATACCTAGATATTGCTGTAGCCTTCTGGTTCATTTTCCTGCCTCACATCTGTCCCCATTCTAATTCATCTTCCACTCAGCAGTTACAGTAATCTTCCTAAAGTGCAGCTTTGATAATGTGACTTACCCTAATCAGTAAACTCCATTGATTGCCTATTACATACAGGATCAAATATAAACTTCTGTTTTTGGTATTTAAAGTCTTTTACAACCTGGCCTCTTCCTACCTTTCCAGTCTTCTTATACTTCACTCTAACAAACTGATTTAGCTACACTTGCCTACCTGCTTCTTCTCCCATAAGACACTACATCTCCCACCTTTTTGTCTTTACACTGGCGGTCCTGATTGCCATGAGTGATCTCTATCTTTAACACTCCTTCCAGCTTCTCAGGCTTCTTTCAAGACTCATCTCAAATCTTAACTTCTGCAGGAGACCTTTCCTGGTCCCTCTCAGCTGCTAGGCTTTCCTTTTGAGATTATTTTCCACTTATGTTGTATATATCTATGTACATAGTTATTTGCATGTCGTTTCTCCCATTAAAATATGAACTTTTGAAGACCATAATTTTGTATTTCTTTGTATACTTAGTACCTAGTGCAGTGCCTGGTACATAGTAAGCCCTTAATAAATGCTTCTTGACTTAACTGTAAGATACTACCCTTAAAATGAATGCCTTTTTATAGGGAATTATGTATAACAAGGTTCATTTCACATTAAAAATTAATATTT